TGCAGATGATACAACCTTGCTTGCTAAAAGTCAAGAGGACTTAAAATATTTACTGATGAAGATCAAAGAGCACAGCCTTCGGTATGGATTGCATCTCATTGTAAAGAAAACAAAAATCCTCACCACTGGACCAATAAACAACATTCTTATCAATGGAGAATACACTGAATTTGTCAAGGACTTCATTCATCTTGGATCAACCATCAACACTCATGGAAGCAGCAGTCAAGAAATCAAGGGAAGTACTGCATTAGGCAAATCTGCTGCACAAGGCTTTTTTAAAGTGTAGAAGAGCAAAGATGATGTCAGCTTGAGGACTAAGGTGCACCTGACCCAGGCCATGAAATTTTCAATAACCTCATATGCATGCGAAAGCTGGACAGTGAATAAGGAAGATCATAGAAAAATTGATGCTTTTGAGCTATGATGTTGGAGGAGAATACTGAAAGTGCCATGGGCTGCCAAAAGAACCAATAGATCTGTTTTGGAAGACGCACAGCCAGAACGCACCTTGTAGGCCAAGATGGCCAAACTTCGTTTCTCATACTTGGGGCATATTAGCAGGAGGGACCAGTCTCTGGAGAATGATATCATGTTTGGTAAGGTGGAGAGTCAGAGAAAAAGAGGAAGACCCCCCAGTGAGATGGATTGGCAAGGGGCAGCATCAATGGTCTCAAGCATGGCAACAGTAGTGAGGTTTGCCCAGGATCGGACAGTGTTTCGTTCTGCTGTGCATAAGGTCTCTATGGGTCGGTACCGACTCAATGGCACCTAAAAACAACTTTGGTGAGTACCGATTGGGAACTTAGAAGCTCATGAGCAGCCATCTGAGGTGCAACTATAGTTCTGTCCCTGTTCAGAAGAAAGACGACTGAAAAAATTCAAAGCAGCATGGAAACACTTGTCTACGAGACTAGCACACCATAGTAGCAGCAGTCTCCAGGACCCTGAGACCAGGGAAACACAGCTACCACTACTCAGAGCTTTGAGAGGGATCACGTCAGAAGACCCTGGATAGAGAGGGAGGAAAATGTGAGCAAAACTCAATCTAATCAAAAAGGACCATGTTTACTGGTCAGACAGCAACAGGTAGAAGTCCCAAGGCTATGGCCCTTAGTTATTCTTCAGGTCTGCAAGTGAACTCACCACCATGATTTTTAAGTCAAGCAAAAGGCAGGTTCAAGAGGTTCATTAGCACTAGGAAGGTATGCACACCTTAGAATAGCCAATAACTGGAGATCAAAAGTGCTGCATTTACCACAGGACCAAGTACAGGAGGGGTAGGACAGGAAGAGAAAGGGAAAGAGGAAACACAGTGAGGTTAGTGACATTTTACTGCAGCGACTGCAACCAATGACATGAAACGAAATGTGTATAAACTGTCAAATATAAAACTGATGATGTGCTCTGTAAATCACAATAAGATGTCAAACAACAACAAATAACCAGTTTTCATACATACCAGTTCCTTTGCTTAGATATGGAGGCTTGAAGAACTTGACAACACCATAGACATTGACAACCGTGCCATCCTTTAGTTGATTCAGGGGAGTGTATATGTAACCTTTTGCCGGAACCTAGAGACAGACAGTGAGTACATCAACACTGAATATTTGCAGTTTAGAATCATGTTAGAATTAAATCAATAAATTAGCAAATCCTCATAACTGTCTTTTATCTTTTTACAAGTCAAAAGCAAAGACTACTAAATCAAACAGACGGGAATTTTTCTGGTGGGGAAAAGGCGGGGGGGTGGTGGTGGTAAGATAAAACAGATTTGGAAATGGACAGCGGCGCTGGTTGTGTAACATTGGGAGTGTGGTTGATGAGGCTGGGTTTTACGTGCTAGCACTGTTGAAATGGCAAAAGTCTTCGTGTATATATATTGCTTCAAATATGTAAAACTGGAAAAAATAAAAAAGACAGCCTCTGAAATACTAGAGAACAGTTCTCCTTTGTCAGAATGGACTTGACAGCAGTGGGCTGTCTTTGAGTGGGGCATCTTCATGATTCACATCTCATTCAAATAAAATCATTATGGCCTTACTTCTTTCAGTGTTCCAATGCTGCATCATGGATGCCTAGTGGAGAGACCTCCTGTGTCATGGAACTGCTCACATAGCATCCTCTCTTAGGAGAGGAACCATGAACCCTGGCAAGCTTGACTTTACACACTGGATTTCATTCAAATGGGAAAACAGCCACAAAGATTGGCCTATGGATACTGAAGTAAATGAGATTTTGGGATGTCTATATGGAGTCCCTGGAAGAGCAAACAATGAAGCACTATACTACTAGACAAAAAGGACGGTAGTTTAAACAGAAATAGAGATGAGTCTGAAGAAAGACCTAGAAATCTGCAACTGAAAATTCAGTCTTTGAAAAGTCTATGGAGTGACGTTCTACTCTGACACACAGGGTGCTGCCCTGAGTTGAACTGACTTGATGGCAACTGGCTTGTTTAGGCTTAAGCCGTAGATGAGGGATCTGCTATTAGGCAGCACAATCCAACACACAGTTAAGTCCAATCTTGTGGGAGGAGTACAAAAGGTGGATCATACACATCTTGACTGCATATTTGATCAATTTCAGACTGAAGAATTTGGTAGAAGTCTTTAATTCATCATCAATGGCTTTAGTGGTTGATGCATAAATTTGAATAATAGTGGTATTAACTGGTCATCCTTATAGGTGTATGGATATTATTCTATCAGACAGTGTTGTACACTTCCAGACAAATCTTGGAATTTTTTTTTTTTTTTATGGTAAATGCGATGCCATTCCTCTCCAATTTCTCATTTCCAGCACAGTATACTATGTGACTGTCAGATTCAAAATGGTCAATACCACTTCATTTCAGTTCACCAATGCCTAGGATATCAACGTTTATGCATTCCATTTCATTTTTAACTATTTCCAATTTTACCAGATTCATACTTTGTACATTTCATGTTCTGATTATTAATGGATGTTTATAGCTGTTTATCTTCATTTTAAGTTGTACCTCATCAGCAAATGAAGGTCCCAAAGGCTTTACTCCATTTGTGTCATCACAGTCAACTCTACTTTGAGGAGGCAGCTCTTCTCCAGTTGTATTTTGAGTACCTTCCAACCTGAAGGACTCACCTTCCAGTATTTTATCTGACAACATTCTGGTGCTCTTCATCATGTTTCAATATTCAAAATTCTGGTGCTAGCAGTGTTCCACTACTCTTCATAAGATTTTCAGTGACTAAATACTCAAAAGTAGTCCTTCTTCCTAGTCTGTTTGTCTGGAACCTCAGCTGAAACCTTCCCACCATGAATGACTGTGTTGGTATTTAAAACATCTGTGGCATAGCTTCCAGAACCACAGCAACACGTAAAGCCACCACAGTTCAACAAGATGACAGACAAATGGTGGCTGGGGGTGTGGTCTGCATCAAATATAGGAACATTCTGGCAATATTCTCTAGCTGTTGATTGGCTCTGAGTCCTGCATTCAGCTCTCATCATCTGGCCTCCTGTTCTTGGTACTTGAGTCAGCAGTCTGCTGCCTGATCTGTTGATCTTGGGTTCAGCAACCCTGGAGTCATGTAGCTCAAAAGACGCCTCCAGCCTGTCATCTGACCCAGATGAAAGGAAGCCGATCTGACCAACACGCGAACCTCACTACATCTATAAAGAACAAGTTAGAGTTGCAACAGCAGCAGCACTTGTGGTAGTAGCAGCAGAGGCTCTGGGGGTCAGGCAGCCCAGTGACAGGAAAGGAGGTGAAACAACAGATGACTACACTATCTCAGCAATCTGTACAGGGTTTCCAAGGAGCACGGTTTTATCATCACTGGCTTTGGTGTTTGGCACATAAATTTGAATAATACTGGTATCAAATGATAATATCCTTACTTGTAGGTGTAAGGACATTATCCTATCATATACACAGCACTAGATACTTCAAGGTAGATGTTGAAATGTTCTTCTTGATGATGAATGTGACACCATTCCTCTTCAATTTGTCATTCCCGGCATTAGTAAACGATGTGAATGTCAGGTTCAAAATGGCCAATACCAGGCCATTTCAGCTCATTAATGCCCAGGATATCAATGTTTATTGTTCCATTTCATTTCTGACAACTTCCAATTGTGGCTGGTGCTATAGGATAAAACAGAGACTACAAAGTCGGTGGTTCAAACCCAGCAGTCACTCCTCATAAACCCCATACAAGGTTGCTACCAGTTGGAATTGTGTTTTAAATTAAAGGAAAAAAAGAGTCTGTAGCATGAAAAAAAAACAAACAAAAAAAACACACACAACTTATTATGTAAAGCAACTATTTGACATTTGATATCGTTTTCCTTACAAACAACTTTGTTTACAAATAGTATGATTTGTATATCAGCTCACAAAAACATAATAACTTATAACCTAGATTCACTGGAACATCATACTTTGATAAAAAACAGGAAAGGAGGAAGTCCCCCGTTAGCAACAATGAGCTCAAATTACAACAATTGTGAGGCTGGTGCAGGACTTAACAGTGTTTCACTCTGTGATGTACAGGATCCCTGTGAGTTGTAACCAACTCAGCGGCACCTAACAACAAACGTACTATTAAAATGCCAACAGTATTGACAGGTTGTTAACGAAACTTCCTCGAATCCTGATGCCATGTTCTTCTTCAATATAATCTAGCTTCTCAGATTATTGGATCATATAAACGGAGTAAGGGTGGTGAAAGGATACAAGTCAGGCACACACTTCTGGTTCTGTATCAGCGAAGATGGGGCAAAGTTATCCTGGACCTTCAGGTCCATAACTGGACTAGTTCAGTGCTTCTAAGTTGGAAGGTATAGGATCAACTGACTGTCCTAACTTTACAAGGGCAGTTACGGCAGAACAAGTCACCATGCTGCCTAAATTCTGAAAACACCTCTAATCCTAACATAGGCTTATTATATATTCAATACATTTTTAGGAAAACACCAGCCTCAACTTAGTAACTTTTCCCCCCAGTAAAACACAAGACTCTGAACTAGAATAGCTAACTACAAGTTCTTCTGGTAAACACTACAAGATGCAGGCTTAGCCCACAATGTGAAACGGAGCAATGGGCAGTCAAAATGAAGAATGCCTGGGATTCTGAGAGTTGGGAATTCTTGGCTTTTTGAAAAAACATTTTGCCAAGAAAACATTTTGCCAAGTTCAAAGGCCCTTTGTTTTACCCCTACCTATCAAAAGATTCACAGATATATCAAATATTTGAAGCTGCTAAATAATTCTGACAAAGTACTTATACCTGAGAACAACTGACAAATTTTCACAAAGTACAAGCATGTTTTCTATGGATATAGTTTTCCCACATAACAAATTTAAACTGTACTATTATTCAGAATTTAAAATCTGTGTCCCCTCGCCATCGCAAACTAGAAAATGAAAACCCGTGGCCTCTGATTGACTACTGGAACCAAAAGGCTTAACAAAGGGGGCGGGTGAGAGGTTAAAAGGCAAGTACAATGCATCACAAATAAACACCATTACTTAAAACTATATAATCTGTCAAATCAAATTCAGCAAATACCAAGCTCTTTAAACACACTGATGAAAAAGAAATGACTGCCTATAGTTTATAACAATACATGTGTTTAATTTCTTGTTTCCTGTGTATGTTGTTTATGTAAAATATCAGCAGATATTACAGATAACAGAATAATCAGATATTAACTACTAGGTGAAACTATAACTTGAATGTAATATTATCAGGTATCAAAGAGTAGATACTATGTTTCCCCATTTCACTGATACAATAGTGAAAATGATAAAGCAGATAAAATACATGCAAGGGTAAGTCAAAAAGTATTACTACAAAAGCATAAAAACTTTATTCCACAAGAATTTCAGAATGTGAAGCTATCGTTTCTCAACATGCCTTCCGTGTAGGACTACACATTTCTGAAGGCTGTGTGTGCATCTTTCTGTCCCTTCCGTTTGCATCATTCTGGCATCCTCAAGGAACTCAAATCATATTTCTCTGAAATGGTCTTTTGAGTTTGGGAACCAGAGAAGTCTAAAAGAGAAAGATCAGGGCCTTAAGGTAGAGTCGGGTTTCCCAACTAATTCTTATAGGGCAACCCTTGCTACCCTTGAACAAAGAGCAGGTGCTCTGTTATGATAGGAAAAAATTCCTAAGGGCAAATTTCCTGGCCTTTTTGTCACCAATGCAGTCTTAAATTTTCTTAAAATCTCTTTATAATAAGCTCCTCTGATAATTCTATTTCATTTGAGAAAATCTATCAAGGTGACCCTCGTGGAAGCCCTAACAGTCACCATAACCTTCTGAGGTGACCGCTCTGCCTTGAATCGGACTGGCCCACTAGATATTCCCGTGGACACCATGATTTTGATTGGACCATTCTGTGAAGAAACCCTAACAAGACTAAGAAGTGCATCACTGAGAGAGCTTGCTGGTAGTCAGCCACTTAGAGAGATAAGATCCAACAGGTTTGTTTGGAATAAACCTGTGCATGTATGAATTAGCAGCAATACCTTTCGAATTTGTTGTTCATAAATGCCACTGAGCTGGTTTCAACTCACAGCGACCCTGTATAGGGTTTCCGAGGAGCAGCTGGTGGGTTTGAACTGCTGGTCTTGTGGTTCGCAGTCCAGTGCTGATCTTACAGCGCCACACCAGGAGTCCTCTTTTTGAGTTACTCTTGTATATAACAGACAGGGTGTGTGCACTCATTCTACAAATTAAAGGTGAATATCATCTTACCAAAGACATTGATTCTGCAGAAATGTCTCTTCCAGATTTAACGTAAACCTGAAAAATAATAAAATAAGACTCAATTTTATACAAACAATTTTCAATACGATTATAAGTTTTCAGTTGTGGTAAACTACACACTTGTTGTTGTTAAGTGTGACTGAGTCACTTCTGACTCATAGCGCCCCTGTACAGGTATACCGCGAGGTAAATTAGAAGGGTCATTCTCAACTGCACAGAAGCAAAACCAAAGGCACAGAGTTTTTATTAGAAAATTGATGCTGCTGTTGCTGTTAAGTGTCGTCGAGTAGGTTCTGACCCATAGCAACCCTGTATAGAGTTTTCAAGGAGCGGCTGGTAGGTTTGAACTGTCGACCTTAAGGTTCAAACTGACCTGACAGTCTAGCGTATTATCCTGCAGCGCCATGTAAGACAACAGAAAAAGTTTATTCCAAAACAGAGGTAGATATCAAAACACATTAAAGTGTAAATTGCAAAGAGGGAAAAAGGATATAGCACAAGCTCACCAGAGCAAGGGGGAGCACATCATCCACAAGCTCACCAGAGCAAGGGGGAGCACATCATCCAGAGTAGAGACCTGGTCTGAACACACACCCAGGCAATGTGTCCACTCCACAGGCAGAGTCCCAAGTCCCCACCCAAGGACCCCTGGCCTTTAGTCTTCCGCAAAGGCTGCAGATTCATTTCCTTTGGAGAGATGCCAGTCAGGTGGCCAACCTGTCTGATGTGGCTTCAAAGTTATTTTATGAAAAGCTCTGTCCATGGTTACACATAACTGCTCTGGGTGTTGGAAGCACAGAATTTCTGGTGATCGTATTAGTTACTGTTCCCAGGTTGCATCACTGTCCCTGGCAATATACATAAGCGAGGGCTGGGGAGCATCTCGGAGAGAACAACAGGGACTCCATTTCGTAGGAACAGCTAACTTTGCCATTTCACTTTCAGCAGGGTTTCTCAGAAGCAGCTGGTGCATCCGAACCACTGACCTCGAAGATAGCAGTCCAATGCTTATGCTACAGCGCCACACCAGACTTCTGTATAATATTCAAATTCACAAAATTCACTAAAATGGCTTCAAGTTCAACTTTACAAATTCAGAGCAACATAACCTAATTTTGCTAAGCCACATAAACTGAAACTATTGAAGCTATTGTTGTTGTTAAGTGCCATCCAGTGGGGTTCCAACTCATAGTGACCCTGTGTAGGGTTTCTGAGGAGAGGTTGGTAGGTTTGAACTGCAGACCTTGTGGTTCACAGTCCAGTGCTTATCCCACAGTGCCACACCAGGATATTGTTGTTATTAAATGCCTTAGAATTGGTTCCAATCCATAGCATCCCTGAATAGGGTTTCTGAGGAGCAGCTGTTGAGCTTGAACCACCAACCCTGCAAGTCAAACCAACTCTGCAGTCCAACACATTAACCTACAAAGCCACCCCAGGATGGGGTACATAAAAATGTCCTTTACACCAACTCAGAATTACTAGAGACTAAATTTGAAGTGTACCAATAACCAGCTCTCAGCATTGATTGTAAAAGGAAATGAACTTGTAACAGTTCAAAGGAAGCAGAGAATCAGAGTTAATTACCAATTTTTTTCTTGCAGAGAATACTGGACTTTTTCAGAAAGAAAAAGAAAGTGTACTAGCACTACCTCTAATGCAAACAAGTCAGTTTCATTCATTTCAGCATCAAACACAGGGCTCCTCTTGGCCAACACAGTGCCTTAGAGCATTATCAGAAACAAAGCAAGCAGCTGGTGGCCTGGAGGCAAACAGCTCCACTCAAATCTTCCCAACAACCTTAAATAAACAAGTAGATTTTAAATGTGTGTGTGTGTGTGTGTGTGGTGGCCTCAGGGGAAAAAGGTAGGGAGAAGATAAAATCAGAGGACATCAGATTTACTAACAAAGAGCCCTAGGTCAATCTAAAGTGAAACTGTTGGTGTTGGGAAGCTCAGTCCAGTCAGTACCCAGGACTCTAGCCACCCCCTACAAGGTTTCTGAGTAGCAGCTGCTGGGTTTGAACTGCCAACTTAAAAGTAAAACTAAATAGACCAGAAAATGGGCTGATGACATCATTACAAACAGCAAGACAATGTCTATGTGACTGCAGCTATCTGTTTTAAAGTTCATTAATAATTCAGGATATTTCTCTAGTATCTGGAATTATTTTAAACATAGAGCAAAAAAAAACAAAAAAAAACAATACTATTTTAAATTTTTAAATATTCAATTAAATTAATTCAGTCAGACTCAGAAGCTTAGCTGCAGATCTGCAGAAATAACACTTCTATCGTGTTAGTCCATGAAAGCTGCAGTATGTTTAGAGGTTAAATGCTGCAAACTTACACAGACAGTTGATTCGAAGCCTTCAAATACAAGCCGTTTTTATCATTTCTGCTTGTAGACGAAGACTCCAAAAGAACAACAAATCTAGCAACAGCAATGGTGTCCTATACAGCCAAAAACCAGAGTTCTTACTCAAACACCAAGGTATTTGTAATTCAGAATAAGTCATATAAATCCTTCTTTGTATTATTTAAAAACAGTAATTCCTTCGATGAAATGCAAAATCCGTTAGCCTAAACTCACTGAATGCTTTCGGAATATAAAATGTCGACTACCATTTTCTTTACATTGTACCCACAGGTGAGTAACATGGTTTTCATATTCTTTGCACCACTTCATGGACCAGGGACACACCATGTTGATTTTATTTTAAATTGTGAGACTTCAAAACCAATTAATGTAAATAAAGAATCTCAATGTATGCAAATAATTTTGCATCAATGAATACAATACGGAGTCTTGGGGTGACGTTATAGGATAAGTATTAAATCCCAAGGTCTTTGTGAACCACAAGGTTAGCGGTTCAAACTCACCAGCTGCTCTTTGGAAACCCTACACAGGGTTACTGTAAGTAGGAATCAGCTTGAAGGCATTTAACAACAACAAATACAACAATGAGATAACATGAAGAATGTAACTGAAATAAAGCTAAGTCTCAGAACGCAGACTGCCTTGTATAAGGAATGCCAGCAGTACCAAGACTTCACATAGGTACAAAACTCATATATCTGGGGAACAAACAAGATGGCGGAACGGGTGGACGTATAGCAGAGAGCTCCGCCAACAACAACACAGAATACCTGACCAAGCAGGCTCAGGGGATGGTCCCAGAACTCTGAACCACATATAAAGGAATACTTAGAAGGTTGGAAGGCTCACAGCTGGGGG